AGAAATGGTCAGTTGGCTGCTTGGAGCTTTGGAGTCCTGGATTCTGTCCAGGGGAATGGGCCCCAGTTATTTCTGCATTTCCGGTGCAAGTAGTCCAGTGATGAACAGGAAGTCAGTTAGGAAGCTGCACAGATACAAGTCAGGAATCTGGTCAAACATCATTTGAGGCTCTTGTCCCAAGTCAGTCAAGGGGTGGACCATGGTCAGTCCCAGGAGTCTGTTCGTTGATAGTCAGTGCAATTATTAAGGGCCACTGCGGTGGTGGGTATGTCATTTGTGGAGGTCAGAGGCAGCATACTGGGATGCAAAGAGGAAAATATTTATGATGGTGGAACACTCAACATATAAGAATAGGAGATAATAGACTATGGGAGGGCAAGGGGTACTGCAGTATTGGGATGTACCTTCGATGATCACCATCACCGAAGTTTCAATGGGGGCACATGGCATAACAATGTTTGGCATAACTAAGTGTTCGGGGGTAAAGTGGGGAGATGAGCAGTTAAATAAAAGTTGGGTCGGTATGTGGAGAAGGTCATACCAAATGGAGTTGAATTGGAGAGCAAGGCAGAAAGGAACATAAAGATTTGTGGGATTTGAAGCGTTTCCTCTGTTACCTCCATGCTCATCTGAATCACAAATGTGCAGCTTTAATGAAAAATGGCTGCCATCACAAGCAAAATGGGAGGAGTAAGTGTTTTACCTTTGAGGGAATAAGATGTGCTTTGTGAGTGTCGGAAGGGCTTTCAAGGGGCAATTGTATTAATCAGACACTCACACTGTACCAGTTAAAGACAACTGTTATCCCAGAATCCTGATTGTGAACATTGACCAGCCATGTTGACTACAAATTCTGGCTATATCCAATCATAACCATCATTGAATATTTCTTCTTGGTCCTCATTCTCCAACTGCAGTGAATAAAGACCTGACCCGTTTATCCGTTCTTGTTAAATCAACCCTTTTATCCTAGAAATCACCCTAGTGAATTTCTTTTGAACTGCATTCAATTCCAGTATATCCTTTCTTAAGTAAAGGGACCGCAACTGTACACATTACTCAAGGTGCAACCAACACCATGTAAAGTTATGACAAGCTTTCCCTATTTTTAAACTGCAACCCCAGAGCAAAGAAAGCCAAATTTCCTTCAATTTACCTTCTTATGTTCTCATCATTATGGCATCTAAAAGGGGTTGAGCAAACGGGCAAAACCTCGGTAGATGGAGTTTAATGTCGGAAAATGTAAGCATCAAAACACAAAAAAGTACAGTACAGAAGGATCTGGATGTTCTTCTGCATGAAAGACAAAACACTAGCATGCAGATGCAGCAAGAAGTTGGTAAGGTAAATGGAGTTTGGCTTTTTTGTTCCCAGTCAGAGTTCTTGGATAACCTATTTTTGCACCATCTTGTCCTGATGACTTGTCTGCCTTTAATTCCACTAGTTTCCCAAGTGCATTGTCCCTCATTATAGAGACTGAAACAAACTTTTTCCTCCCATTAGCATCTTGTTTATCTGATAACTTTGAGATATTTGTAGTGTCGTCCACCCTAAGACCAAAGTAAAATATTGACTTAAATTATCTGCCAAATTTCTCTCTTCCCCATTATCAATTTCCTAGTCACATCCTTCAAAGATTCCACACTTACTTTTGTTACTCCCTTTTTATTTGCCTGTATAAGCTCTTGCTGTCTGTTTATATATTTTTTGCCAATTTTCATTATGAATTTTCTCCCTCTTTTAGTCATTCACTGCTGGTTTCTAAAAACAGGTCTCCAGTCTTCTGGCTAAGACTAGATCAGTTTGGTTCATCTTCTACTATCCTGATTGAACAGATTACAATGATAAAGAAGTTTTCGGTTAAACATATCAATCAATCAATCAATCACAGACACAATGGTGGAAAGGCTTGCAAATCATAGGTCTAAGGTAGCCTTCTGTTGCCAAGAATCTCACTCAACATGTCACATTTCACGGAGTTCATATATTCCTGTACCAATTTATGATATTCCATAATATATCTATCTAATAATGATTGAATGAGTCAATTCTGAGTTCCTTGACCCCTTAACAACGTATTCTAACAGGTTTATAATTTGACCTAATTCCCCACCTGAGCAACTTTAGTTGCTGCTTGTTTCTGATGTTAACCACATTAGCTCATAGCAACAGGCACAGAAGCTATGCAATCTCTGTGTCCATCTGAAAACTGCTACGTAAATTGAAGAAGAACACAAGTGTCTGGAAGCCCAGGACTGGTATTACCCTCCAGGTGAATGTAGTGCAACCTCCTAGTGCAGTGTTTCTAGCAGAAGGTGCCATCATGATGCAGCTAAAGTGGAGAAGACATGCAGTCATTTATCTTCAAGATGAGATTGGGGCAATGGCACTGACAGGCCATCAAATCAGTAAGTCCCGGGACATTATGTGAAAATTGTGACATCTGCTGCAACATTCGAGGTGCAGGGATCAGAACACCCTGTCATGACACACAGCATGTATGCAATGCAACATTTTCTTCCACTGGAATTAACAAGGGCTATAAAATTTCCCCTTCACAAGAGGTTCCCATGCTGTTCAGTGCTGAGGTTTTATTGCAGTACAGTACAAAAGGTGTGATATGATCCTTGCATGCTTTGCTTTCGACAGTTGGAGGGTGGAACAAAGGTGTGTATGTTGTACACTAGAAGATAAATGTACTTAAATTGGGACTTGGACTCTGTTTAAATGACAGTTAGCCACCTGCTAAAACACTATATGTATGCAATTAATTCTCATTCACTTACGCCCAAATTTATATATCCATCACACATTCCTTCATTCCATTAGGTCTCATGCCTTGCTTCAGCCCATATTAGTTGATAATAATATAATAGATGATGATGATCTGTGAGGTCCGCAGCATTATACCTAGTAGCAAAATAAGGTTGTTCATTAGAGGGAACTTCACCTTCACTGTCCTACAGTGTGGCATGATCGGCTGCAGCAACTCAGACAGGACTTCATTGGCAATAACTTTCCATGGAATGAGTCGGGTGATTAAATAATTCCATAGAGGCTGGTATCCCATCATCAAGCCATCCTTTATTTACACATGAACAGTCCTTGACTTTAGTACTGCCTCATTCAGAGTCAGGTACTAGAATATCAGTATCTCTGACACTCACCTTTTTTATCTGTCAGCCAGGGCTCCCTGATTGGACCAGATTAACAGCCCCAATCATGGAACTCCTATTCTGTGAGGTCCAGCTGGCTGACCTTGCTACAATTACTACAGATTTCACAACTACAGGTGAAATCATCTTTCACTGACTGAAATGTTTTGATGCTTCAGAGGCCGGCAAGCCCTCTTTAATCTCAACTGCAATTGCAGCTCTTTTGCAAACCAAAATTTGTCACTATTGTCTTTTCATAATATGATTCACAGACCCATGTGTTTCCTTTTGAAATCTTTGCTAACAAGAATAAATAATTTTGCAAGCTATGTGCATCCATATGCCAAGTTGCTGCTCATGAGTTTGATTGAAGTAAGCAAATTACATTTTGCAAATTTTGCACTGGATTTGGAGGGCCAGCTTAAAGCTGGGGGGAGTGTTCATATCTTAATTTTAATTCTGTAGTAAACTTGAAGTTGCATGTACAAGTTCCCCTCCAAACTGCACACCATCCTGACTTAGAACAAAATCCCATTCCTTTATTGTCATTCCTGAAACCCTTTACCTAAGAGCACTGTAGGAGTAAGACTGCAGCAGTTCAAGAAGGCTGCTCACCACCTTTTCAAGGCATTTAGGTATCAGAAATAAAGAGTGTTCTTCCCAGAAATGCCTACATCCTATGAATTAATAACAACAAAAACAAACTATCGATACCATCTAATGAAGTAAGGCATTCATTGAGTGTAGCCAATGTGGATTTATGTTTCAGATCTGTCAGAATTCATTCAGCACCTAGCAAGACCAGTTGATGAGGACTATTCAGAAAATAAAATTTTATTGGATTTTTGAAAGGTTCTTCATAAATATTAACATGCAGAACTTTCAAATAGAGTATATATTGATGCAATTGGAATATGAACTTGAAGAATTTTAAAATGGTTAAACAATTGTAAGCAAAAGGTATAAGGACATGGCTAAAACTTCTTTCTGGGAAAGTTATGAATGATATTCTGGGAGGCTATTTTGGATTTGGTGTGATTCCTCATTAAGGTAGCAAACAAGTTAGTAAGTTTGCAATAAATTGTTTAATGTTATTACTTTTGCAGGTCTAATGACAGAGTAATAGATAATAATTAATTGTTATTTTTAATTAGAAAGATTTTTTTTTTTTTAATTTAGTTTATTTTTGCTGCTTAATTGCTTATGGAATTTGAAGTTGGAAATTTATAGTGTCAAGGCCCATCGCAGTTTAACATTAAAAGAAATGCCATGAAAATAAATGATTAATCATAATAAGCATAAATCGAAGAATCTTTTGTAGTAACCTCAGCCAGTGTAGCAATTGACTCTATGCTATTGGCATACTCTGCGTCATAAACAAGCCATCCAGCCACTGAGCTAATCAAACCCCATTTAAAAGGATTGTATAATGTATAGTATTTGAAAGGCATTTTGTAGACTTGCTTTAAACTCAGAATGGGAGCTAGAATAGGTGAGGGCTATGATGGAGTGTCAAAACAGTTTGAACATGGTAGTGGGAGATTTAAATATCTGGGCATTATATGCATAGTCTCCATCAATCTCATGCTTCAATATTACCTGTAAGCCTAACATAAATATGAACCCTAGTGACTTCTAGCAGGTGCACTTCTTGATGCTCAGAAGAGCTGGTTACAATTATCCGCTGTGAGATGAATGTATGAGTTCCATGAGCAATTTTACTGCCTGCCAACCCTCTTCCTGCCAAACAGCTAGCTTTAATTTGCTCCGTGTAACTGTAATTACATTTTCAAGTAATGTTATTTTGTGTGTAAATTTATGAGTTAGTTTATTTTCTATTGACAGCCTGAAGAGGTTGGGGAAGAAGCTGTTGAAATCATGGGAGAAAATACAATGGAATCAGAAGGTGAAGTTGAACCTGAAACTTATGAAGAGGCTCCACAGGTAAGATAATCAGATACTCAGTCGCAGGTGACTAATGCAATTATGTTTGTGAAGTTGTTGTACTGGATCTATCAAACATTGAAACTTTAGGGCAGCTTTTCATTCTGAACATAGTAAAATTTGAATGTACATCAAATAATATTGCTTTGATGTGTATCTTCAACCAACAGTCTAGAAAAATGATAGATTGGACTAAGGATTTATGAAAAACTATTTACAGCTCTAATAACTGATATTTGATTTGGAAGTGATAAATTTACAGCTAATTTAGCAAATATTCTGCGTAAGTGAAAAATGAGGATAAAAAGACTCCACATTTTAATTGTGTCATATGCACAACATAATTGCAATATTAATAATAGATATATGAAAGTAGAGTATAAGAACAGTTATAATGATGTAAGGCAATAAGTGTCCTAAATTACTAAAAATACCCTTGACATGGGATCAATTATTCCAAATCAAACATCAAACACTGGAAACAGGATTATAAGTGTTATATGGGAGTTTTATGCTTTTCTGGGGGCAGGCTATGGAGATTATGTGGGGTTGGGTTTGTGGCAGACAATGTAAAATTGTGTCATCTGGCAAAGGGTGCCAATCATATCATATATTTAGCTCCATTGACATTTTAGCAGTGGCTGATGAGATGATGGATTGTCCACTACCTGTGAGTCAATTGAGACCCTGAAGTGGATAACTAAGGTTTACTTCTGTTGCCACTGGCATTTTACCAGCAGCAAGGGTGGGGTCCCTAATGTTTAGGCAGTCTGTTCCCAAAGAACGTCTACTCTATGGTAGTCCCTGACCTGGCTTCCTCCCTCCCCTTATCCGTGAGATCTGTTTGGCTGGCCTGGAAGACTTTATACCTGTGGCTGCACTCCCCCAAGTCTACCCCAGCCCACTTACCTTGTTATCCAGATTCCATTATTCCCTTGTTTGAGAGAGCTTTGATTGGGAGCCGATGTCTCACCCTGAGATAATTACCAATCCAGTGTAAATTCAGGTTGATGTTTCCTGGTCATGCAAATACAGGCTTATTCCTGAATTTTCAGCCACCTCACAAAATGCTAGCAAGATTTTCAGTCAAAAGCAACACCTTGTTCTAATTGATACTATTTTTAGTATTGCCTTGCACAAATATAGGATAAAATTAATAATCTTCTACAGGTCATATATCTGCATTCAATGCACAAGTTAGTCGTATTTGATTCCAATCATATAGGAATATTACTGTTTAAGTAGTTAAAGCACAGTGTGAGTTAACCTGCACTTTGAACACATTGGAGTTAAATGTGGAAACTGGCACCTTGGCTGCTTCCTGACACACTGTCAATTTTGTCAGTGTTAATAACCCCACCTGCTCACAAAGTGCTAACAGCGATATTAAGCTTCTACATAATTGGTTGTTTTAATTTCATATGATCTGCTGTAAATTTAATTAGATACACAACTCTTAACATTTGGGAGCCAAAAAATAAAATTTTATTGAGAACCAGGATTAACAAGAAGTCATAAGGATTTGATTCACGTGACAATAATGGATCTGTGAAATGCTCTGACATTTCTGGGAATATACAAAATGGTCTTCTAAACTGGAATAATCCATTTCATATCAAAACATTTGAAGATTATGAATAAGGATGATCCCAATTCAAAAAGTGAGGATTTAGTAGGATTTGCACAACCAAATCTGGACATAAATCTCGTCATATTTGAACAGGCTGACAAACAATTTCAAAACTTTCCTCATTTTCCCCATGTGCAATAAATTTGCGCAATGTATATTCCAAATTCCTGTTTGGTGAGGCTGAATGATGAATTTTTTTTGTGAAACGTCAGTGTATCATAGGATGTAAGTCACTGAAGCATGTTTTCTTTTTATATTCCAGTAGTCTATTGATTGTAATTCACGTGTTCCCTTTCTACGTTGTTCTCTATATTTTCTGTACTAATAGCTGATAGGTTTTCTGCCTTTAGTCCTCTAGCAATGTTGTCCACACCAATACACAACTGTTTATTAGATTCTGTATGAAAGCAACCTTGATCACTGAATGTAAATCTCCCGACCTTCTATTGGTGTGACCATAGCTCTTGTCCCTCAACTGCTGAAACTATACAGAATTCACATAATAAGGTCTACAACTTGCAGACTAAGAAATGGATTCAAGACTGCAAAACAGCATCCTATCATGCATCATATCAGCACTATACTTGGAGCTCAGAGACTGGAAAATGGGAATGTATGGGATGGAAGGTGTGGTTCAAATAGCGTGCAGAATTGATGTAAGAAATATATTCAAGTTTCATGAATCATTTACTTAAACAGAGAAATTGCTAAACTGTCGAAGGAAAAGGAAAATCACTGATTTTTTTTTTTCCAAATTACTGTTAGTAAGAACCAGGTTAGGAATGGTGGTGGCAGTGTTCTGGAGCTGTGAGTGTTGGAAATACTTGTATGGGAACCTGGAGCTCCTAGATTTTATGAAGCAGCGTCTAGTTGTAGAAAAAGGTATGTGGTGTTTGGCTATCATAGTTTGATGCCCAAATGAAGATTGTTTGATATGCATGGTGAACTTGCTACCTTCCTCAAGATCAAAGCTGCTGGCATCTCCCTATAGAAGCAAGGAAAGCTAAAAATGCTGGCTGGAAGTCCTCTGCCTATTTCCAGCACCAGCATGCTCTTCACAAAGTCCTTGGGCTGTAAGGGCAGTAGAGCAGACATGCAGCACGTGCACTGGAAGGTCGAAGAGTGGGTTTATAACGATACCAAACAATGTCTAACATTGATTTTATGCAGCAGTTGCCATTTTTGACCTCACACAGCTCTTGTGAATACTTACCTGTAAACATTGCACTTACATGTATGCCCAGTTACCCAGTGCAAAATGGTGCCTCTCTGCTCCCCGTGTATGCAAGTGTACCTGAAAGGTGTTTTTAAGCACACAATCTTGCTTAGTCACTTCTGTAATGAGCTCATGGTGATAATGATGGTCTGCAAATTTACACTAGCACTAGGCACCCGCTGAGTGTTCTCCTGGATCTGCCTCTTGATGACAGTCGTCAACCTTTCCACAGATGCAGCAATGAATTGATTCCTCTATCCATCGCACATATCTGCTCAGTAGCTCCACCAGATTCTCCCAGCCTCAGCAATAGGCCTGGTCTCCAAAGGTCTCTGACTCTAAGTTGCCTTTGATAGCACAGTTTCTGTTATCTACATCTGCATTCCTAAGAGGTACTGACCAGAGTGTGACCTCAGACCAAATCACGAACAGCTACCAACTATTAGAATGTGTACACAAATTGTAACTCTGTTGGTGCTTAGAGCATGGAAAAGATGAGATGCTGTATTCTCTGAGACATCGACCTCCTCATCCTCAAAAGAGATCTAAGGAGCTTCATTGGTGTGTTCCTCACATTTCTGCTGCAATCACATGCAAATGAAAAACAAACAAAATTAGCTTTTTTTAATATTCAGCTCTCTTCTCTCATCCTTGGGTGCAAGATGCTCCTTCGGAAGCCAGAGTCGCCGGCAAAGCATTAATCCTCCTGACACTCAACACCCATCACTTTAATCACAGCATCTGAGATGGAACAACCACCCTGCTCTTCTTCAGGGGAAATGCTGGCCTAGTGGTATTGTTGCCAGATTATTCATCTCAGGTACTGCCCTGGGGACTAGGGCTCAAGTCCCATTGTGGCACATGCTGAATTTGAATTCATTAAGAGTCTAATGATGACCGTGAAACTCTTGTCTGAAAATCCCATCTGGCTCACTGATGCCCTTTTAGGGAAGGAAACTGCTGGCCCACATTTAACTCCAGATCCACAGCAATGTGATTGAATCTTACGCTGGGCAATTTGGGGTGTGCAATAAATGCTGGCTGAGCCAGAAACAACCATACCTTGTGAATTAATGATAAAAAACAACTCGAATATCTCTTTCTCAGCAGGAATTTGGAGAATGTGCAGGAATGCCAGGCATTCAATCTTCACCCTTTCACAGTTGTTGTGGGTTCTTTTTGTCTTGCAAGTTTAAATGGAAAGTGAATTAGGCTCCAGATACTGCTAAAGAGAATCGCTTAATAGTAGACCTCCCCAGTTCACGATATATATCCATATGTTCTCCCCGATGCAGACATAACTATGACTGAATAGCTAAATTTCATCCAATGAAAATTAGAAAGTAGAAGTTTCCACAGCAAATAATTAATATTGTATTCAAGGAAGCATGAATAGAGCTACTCGGATTTTTGAAGGAGAATATAATACTGTATGATCAGCTGTGTGGGAATTAATATCATGACAGTAAGATTAATGTAACAAATTACTCATACTTGCTCTGATATGCTGTTGGATTTGAATATTATTTCAAGGAAATGTTGGTACACTACAACTGACAACAGTACAATTGATCTTGCATGTTGTTTCTTTTCAAGTTAAAGCAATAACATTAATTACCAAAGAGATTGTGTGCAGAATGCATAAATTGAAATTTGATCCAATATTTTTAGTTCTATGGGGTGGTATTTTCCCCTCCCGCGAGATGACGGAGCAGGGTGGCGAGATGGTTCAGTAATTGGCAGGTTGAAACTGTTGAGATACTGGCTTCCTTCTCTTCTCGTCAACCATCGAGTTCTAAGAGCGAGGGACTATGGGCAACAATTCCAGTTCAGAACAAAGAACAATGCAGCACAGGAACATGCCCTTAGGTCCTCCAAGCCTGCACTGACACATTTTGCCTTCACTTATAGGATCCGTATCCCTCTATTCACTTCCTATTCATGTATTCATCCAGGTGCTTCTTGAATGCTGCTATTGTGTCTTCTTCCACCACCTCCTCTGGCAACGCCTTCCAGGCACACACCATCCTTTGTGTGAAAAACTTGCCTCGCACATGTCTTTTAAACTCCTCTCCCCACCATACCTTGAACCTGTGTCCCCTAATAATTGACCCTCCACCCTGAGAAAATGCCTCATACTTTACACTCAATCCA